TAGGTAATTATAATATCCATCAGATAACAATAAGATAGCCCATTACCGGGATTATCTCACAGAAAACTGGGAAAGAGATTTAATAAGGGTGAATTATTAATATCTAATTGATCATTTAGTAAGTTATCTGAATTTTTAAATCTATTTATTTCAAGTGTTTCTAAATGGTTTAATTTAAGGCTCTTATTTTCTACATGTAAAATTTCAACGTTGTCTGTAAAAGAATAACATCTACTCAGCAAATGAAGGTCTTATTATGGGGAACCCATTAAGCCCGTTGCTTGCAGAAATATTTATGGATAATATAGAAAATAAAATTCATAGCAATAATTTAAGTAAACATTGTCTGTATTGGCATAGATATGTTGATGATATATTGACTGCTTTTACTGGTACTAGTAGACAGTTAAATTCTTTATTAGTTTTTATCAATACTATACACCCTAATATTAAATTTACTATGGAAACAGAGAAGGATAATTCAATTAATTTTTTAGACTTAAATATTATTAAAAATAATAAAGGCCATAGTTTTGGGATATTTCATAAGCCATCACATACGGATATTACAATAAATAATAGTTCATCTCATCCATACAAACAAAAGCTGGCAGCATACAACAGTATGATCCATAGATTAGTTAATATTCCCCTTACCAAAGAGAACTTCACAAAAGAATTAAATATCATTAAACAAATCGCAGTAAATAATAATTTTAATTCAAAGTTAGTAGACAACATTTTAGAGAAAAAACTTTTTAAACAGGCTATTCAACAAGTTTATCCCATAATTAAAGATCCAAATTGCAGATATAAGAGTCTTACATATATAGGAGCTCCTAGTGAAAAGGTATCATCATATTTAAAAAACCAAAATATTAACGTAGCTTTTAAAACCAATAATACGCTTGGGAAGTATATTAAAAACAATAAGGGTAAAATTAATCCTAATAATAAATCGGGGGTATATAAATTAAATTGTGGTAGTTGTCCAAAATTGTATATTGGTCAAACAGGCCGTACTTTCAAAAAACGCTATTCCGAACATTATAATAGCTATACAAAAAACAAAAATAATTCTACTTACTCAAATCATATTTTAGCTGAAAATCATTCTTTTACAGACAACTTTGAAATTTTACATGTAGAAAATAAGAGCCTTAAATTAAACCATTTAGAAACACTTGAAATAAATAGATTTAAAAATTCAGATAACTTACTAAATGATCAATTAGATATTAATAATTCACCCTTATTAAATCTCTTTCCCAGTTTTCTGTGAGATAATCCCGGTAATGAGCTATCTTATTGTTATCTGATGGATATTATAATTACCTAAGTACCCTTATTTACTTTAAATAATTAGTTTATTTTGTAATGTTATTGATGTTTTCTTAAGTACTTTGTTTTGTTAAATTATTTCGTATATATATTGGATACCGAATTGTAAATAGTCACATTTGAAAAAGAAGTTGTACTTCGAAACATATGTCATGTTAGTGTTTTTTTTTTAAATTTTTATTTTTTAAAATAAAAGTGTGAAAATCTACCAAATTTGGTTTTACTCTTTCAAAAATACAACGAGTTTATCACCTAATTCTTCGTTCATACTTGAAAGTTGATCTAATAGTTGAATAAGGTGTATTTCCATATTTTTACCCTAATTGTAATCTACATCTAATTGGTACTTTATTTGATAACGTAGCTTTTTCGTGATAATATTTTAACACTCCAATATTCATGTGATGTCCTCAATTTCTTCACACATGGGACTATTGTTAATCTTCTAACATTAAGCCAATAACAACTTTGGCTTTATTATTCTTAGATGCCCATTTGGTATCAACATTTACAGGTTTTTCATTGGATACTACATCCCACATGTCTTCTTTAATAAGCAATTATTCTACTCTGTACTTCCATGTACCATGATTACTATTATTTAATATGCTTCTGGTCGTTTTTGTTTTAAGTGTGTCTACTATATGAACTTCTTCCAAATAAAATATTTTAACTACTATTTAACTAATATTTCTAATGTATTCTTCTTGGGCCCATAACCTATTGGAGGCTATGGATCGTTATAAAGCGCTTCAACCAGTGTTTTTATAATTTCTATGTAATTGAATTTCATGAATTCATTTTTTGACACAACAAATCAATCATCAATAATAACAACTAACTACTTGTACATTATAAATTTTATACCAGGGCATCTGCTTTTTATATTATATTTGAATATATATCATCAATGTGAATTTATTAAGCTTGTTGCTAATGACACTCTGATAAAAATTTAATGATTGCAATCGAGAAAATGAATAAAATACTGGAGACAGTTGCTTAGTCATTTCGACTAAAACTAAAACAAAAGCACTTATTTTGGCAACTAAACATAAATATAGCTTACTGGATATCGTAATATTTATAATTATTTAGGTATCCAATTAGATAATCTACTTTTTAACGATTTCGTTAATTATAAGTATACATATCTATATATCTAGAATTTTAAATAACTTCACCTAAAATAACAGACTCGAGTCATGTGCATAATTTTAAAAATCAGTTGATTAAAATTCTCGAGCTAAAGCTCTCGGTCTCTAATCAGATTATTAATACCAAAAAATATGTCTCATCAAATTGATATTAAAATATTCTCGAGATTTAGATTCAACAAAAATAGCTGACTTTTATCAAGGTCTTGGTATATTACCCTTGATTACAGCACAAGATCAACTAATGATATACAGGGTGGTCCTTTGAAGACGTACCGCAAGGCATTACAGGATGGAAAAGAACTTTACGGCGAAATCCAAAAACACGTAAAGGGGACACCTTTTGACGCAAAAAGCATAGTAAAACCTTTAACCCCCTCAGTAGGGGTGTTATCCACCAAATTTTTTTAAAGAGGATGTGGATTTAAGTGATACCTAATTAAAAGGGCCTTGTCATTCCCTATACAACGCTGCTGAGTTTTTGAAAATCGAGCTACTCGTTTAGAAAATTATAGAGCCTTGAAAGTTAAACAATAATGTGTGACGGAAAATGGCAAAAGCGATTTAATTTAACTTAAAACCTTGCCGTATTTTTAAAATTACATTAATTATTCCCAGATTTAAAATAAAACACTTCATTAACTCAAAACACTAAAACATTTGTTGCTATAATGGTATTTTTTCAAATGAATTTTCTGTTTTTTGTTGATAAAAAATGATCGGGTTTCTCTCTTCACGTTTAAATTAAAGTATTTGCTAAATACCTGTCTTACGGTTAGTGTTTCAATGTCACTGGCTCACTGCCATTGTGAACATTACATTTATCAATTATGGTGTACTTAATTGCTGAAAGAGTGGACATTATTGAGCGTTGAACAATGACAATTTCCTATTTAATGTGTGTTTTTCGGATGAGTATTCTTTCTTCATACATGGTTAAGTGATTCGCCACAATTGTCAATACTGGGCAGACAGCAATCCAATGATTTTCCACGAGACACACACATAACACCCCGAGAAGTTAAATGTATGGGCTGGCATTTTTGGAAATTCCACTGTAGGCCGTTTTCTTTCTTGAAAATTTAACAGGCGATATGTACTTGAATTCACTACAAAATGCCATGGACCCTGCTCTAACAAATATCATAGAGAACGACCCCACATACAACGAACAGGAACTGATTTTTTAACAAGACGAAGCTCCTCCGCATTATTCGCTAAATGTGCGTAATTATTTAAATGACACATTTCCAGGACGATGGATAGGACGAAGGGGCGCCACTGAGTGGCTACCTCGGTCACCCGACTTAAGTCCTTTAGATTTTTTCTTGTGGACACATATAAAAAGCGTAGTTTACAAAACTGCACCTGGCACATGTATTAGAAGTATTATAAAGAAGAATCATTAACGCATGTCGCTAAGTAACACTGCAAATGCTCTAAAATGTACTGCAACGGTTTGAAGATAACTTGTATCACTGTATGCAAGTTGGCGGGCAGCACTTCGAGAATTTACTTGACTAATACGTATCACTTCACCCCTTCCCCTTTAAAAAAATTGGAGGATCACACCCTTACTGAGGGGGTTGAAGGTTTGACTATTCTTTTTGCAAACTTGACGTGTTTTTGGATTTCGCCAAAAAGTTCTTTTCCAACCTGTAATGCCTTGCGGTACCTACGTTTTCGATGGGCCATCCTGTATACATTAAAAGAGTTAATTATTCTAAATTAAAGGCGTCTTTATTGTATAAAGGTTTCCAAGAATACAATGAACTGCCCAGGGACTTGAAAGATTGTAATTCATTAGCAAGATTAAAAAAAATTAAGAACTTTTATTAAAACTGATGGAGTCCGGTCCTGATTGATTGGAAAAGTTCAGAGATATTTGCTCCGTAATTAAACTCATCTAACTGAGAAACTACAAGAATAAAATTAATCAAAAAGTGATCAGTAGGTGTATAAGGTGCTAAGTGAGTGTGGGTAAAGAGATTTACATAAATCTAATAAGGTCAGATAATTAATTTAATATTTAATACATTTTTATAAGTTCAAATTGCATGCTAAAACAAGCCAAGGTCCGACGGGTTGACTGGCTGGTGGCTTTTCCCGCAGTGTGATAAGATAAGCAGTAGATAAGAAAGGAATACAGTTAATTGAACAGGGTCGGCTCAGAGGTAGTAGGTTGATACCGAATTGTTGAGTAAAACAGAAAAGGAATATAAAAGAGAAAATAATGGAACGCATTTTGGAAGGAATAAAAAGCATATTAGATAGTGCGGAAAAAAGGACCATAAGAATAGATGGAAAGCTGGATTATCTTCAATAAGAATTAATAGAAATAAAAAACGAAAATTAAAGTAATCAAATTGAAAATAAACAGCTTACGGTAGATCTAAAATAATAGAGCTAGAAAGGAAAAGAAGAAAAAAAGATATTCATCTTTGGAATCGAGGAAACTGATAAGGAAGATATGTTAATTATAAAAATAAAACAAAAGAAGGGATGGAGAAACTCGCCGTGGAACTCAATGAAAAAGAAGACATAGCTAAATTAAGAAGAATAGGAAATAAAATTGAAAACAAAGTAAGGTCAATGTTAGTGGAATTTAGAGATTGGCATGAAAAAAGAGAAATAATTAAAGCAACCTCGATGCTAAAAGGTATAAATATACTTATAGATGAAAATTGTCTGAAAGAAAATCAATAACAACGAAAAATATTAGGAAAGCATATGAAGGAAGCTAGAGAGAATGGATTTAAATCAAACATAAATTACAATAAATTATGACAAGATGTATACAGTAGACGATTTATGTTATGAAAACATATTAGCACATCTAAAAAAGAACAAATGGAAAGAGGAAAAGCTAGAAGAACATTCAGTCAGATAAGGAGGCAGAACAGTATGAAATTGTAAAGAAGATGAAGAAACAAACAGGAAATAATGAGGACAATCCAAAAAACTAGCAGAAAGAAAAGGAAAACAAAGGACAGAAAATTAAGGAAATTACTTTACAAAGAACTGGACAAGAAACAGCAACAAAGACTCATGAAAATAAAGCAGAGAATGCTGAGAGAAAATAAAAATAAAAAATAATTCAGAAGTGAATTGAGAATAAGTACCTGGAATGTTAGAACAATGTTAGAAGTTGGAAAAAATACGAAAAGAACTCAATAGATATGGCCATAGGTGTTGCAGCAATTCAGGAAATAAGATGGGGAGGCAGAGGAATAATTGACGTTGTATTATTCTGGACACGAAAAACAGGGACAGTATGGGGTGGGATTCATAATGCTAGGCGATTTACAAGAAAAAACAATAGAATTTAACCCAATAAATAAAATAGTAGCATATCTACGAGTAAAAGCAAAACCATTCAATATATCATTGCTTAATATATACGCCCCTACGGAAAAAACCAAATCAGAGGAGAAAGAGGCTTTCTACGATAAAGTAGAAGAAGAAATAGAAAAAATGTCAAAGGAAGATGTAATGATAGTTCTTAGAAATTTTAATGCAAAAACAGGCAAAGAAGATCATATACAGCAAGTAGCAGGTAAATACACCATACACGAGAAACAAACGACAACGGACAGAGGTTATGTAAGCAGCTCAAATAAATATAAGCTCTACAAAATTTAAACATCTCAAAATGCATAAAGTGAGCATATGCAGATTCAGATCATTACATGGTCACTGCTACCTTAAAACAAAAAGTGAAAAGAGCTAAAAAACTTAACACAATGCAACACAAATGGGATGTAGGTCAACAAAGCAACGAAAAAGTTAAAAATAAATAAGCAGAGAAAGTAAAATCAATATTAAGCAATAAACGTGAAGCAAATAAAATAGAAGCTGAATAAAAAGTCATTAGAGAAAGCTTAGAAGTAGCAGCAGAAGAAAACATTGGGGTTGCACAGAAAAAAGTAAGAAAGGATGGTACAATGAAAAATGTAATGAAGCAAAACAAAAAAGGTACAAGCAAAATTCAAGTAGCTGAGAACAAATAAAATAGAAAATAAATGGCTTATGAAGAACTGAGAAAACAAACCATAAAACTGATAAGAACAAGTAAAAATAATTAAACAAGAAAGAAGTAAGAAAAACACAGAAGACTTTTACAAGAAAATTAAAGAATAGAACAAAATCTACAAAAGCAAAACAAATGGAATAAAAAATAAAAAAGGGATGTTTTACTGGAAGATGAAGAATACAAGCAGGTGTGGACAGATTACTTTAAAGATCTCTTAATCGATGCAGAGATAAAAGAATCTAAAATGATAGAGGAAGAGGAAATAGAAGAAAGGGACATAATTGCTGACCCAACAAGAGAAGAGATAGAAAAGGTCATTGTGAAAAGTGCAAATGGAAAATACTCAGGAAAAGATGGAATTGACATCGAACTCATTAAATATGGAGGCAACGAATTGAAAGAAAGACTATTATCTTTAATTCAGAAAATATGGAAAGAGGAAAAAACTTAGAGAGAATGGGAAATAGGAGAGGTAATAACAATACATAAAAAAGGTGACAAACAAATATGTCAAAATTACAAAGGAATAACACTTCCTAATAAAGCTTACAAAATACTTTCAGCAATAATACAAAGACGGCTAGGGCAAACAACAAAAAAGGTGATAGGACAGTACCAATGTAGATTCACACAGGGGAAATCAACTATAGATGCAATCCATGCAATAAAGCAAATAATGGAATGAACACAAAATAGAATTAGAAATGCTTTTTATTGATTTTAAACAAGCCTTGGCAATACCAAAATTAACATTAAAATATTAAAAGGAGCGATAGAAGAATTCATAATTAATAAAGGAGTAAAGCAGGGAGATTCGCTATCAGCCACTCGGTTAAACCTCTCATTAGTTTATGTGATGAGGAAAATTAATAAAGGAACATTGATAACAGGGGGAGGACAAGTCATTGCATATGCAGATGACATAGTGAAAATTTCAAAACCAAGAAAAATCATGGTAAACATGTTGAACGGAATTGTAAAAGAAGGAAACATTATGGGACTAGAGCTCAGGGGCGGATACAGAAGGGGGGCGCAGGAGGCGCGCGCCCCCCTGAGAGTCTGAGCAACTACTCAAATCATTAAAAAAAACATACATACAAAAATTATAGAAGAATATTCCAAAAACATTTTATAGAAAATTTTTCCAATTAAATGTTATAGAAAATTTTTCCAATAAAATGTTATAGAAAAACTTTCCAAGCTGACAACATTGTTTTGTTTGGAGCCGAGATCACTTCACCACCGACGGGTGTTAACAAGAAGTTGCCTCATATACCTATTGCGGGTTTGCGGAGTGGGTGGGGATATACTGCGGAGTGCGGACACATTAGGTTTGTTTTGGTTCACATTCTAGAATTGTTCCAGAACCATGCGCAGAACTATTGCGCAATGGTCCTTACTTCTGAACAGTTCTGTAACCATTCCATTGTATTCGAAACCAAAACACTGCCAGAACAGTTAAATGTCAAAAAATAAATTATAAATAAGAAAGAAGAAATAACACAGGGTAAGTGTCTAGGCAAGAAAGAGGCCACATAATATTGTAAAACGTAGATAAATTAAATAATTTATTCGTAACAATCCTTTGACCCAACATCAACTACTCCATTCTCATTAGTCATTTGAAAATTCCTTGTAAAAATTCCAACACAAAACATGGCCAGATCTCAAAAACAAAACTATTTTCAAAAAAGCGCAAGCGCAAACATATCGATTCTGAAACAGTTCTCGCTTTAGGCCAGAACCGACGTTACTGTTCGAGAATGGTTATGGAACCATTCTCAAGAAAAACCAAAACACAGAACTTGCAGGTTCGGAACTGTTCTGGCGAAACCAAAACAGCAAATATCTACTGCACATGCTCCCAAGGTTCTGGAAGAGTTCTAGAACAGTTACGAAAGTAAACCAAAACAAAGCTATACTTATGTGAGTGCGGACTAGTGGGACTTGGGACTAGACTGTTTCATTTCATCATTGCCGAAGCGACGCGCGACGGGCCGACAGCATTTGGCGCGTAGTAATTTACTATTCACTTGATTAGCCATCTTCTCTTTGCTTAAACAATGTCGAAAAGGCAAGGGAACGAAAAAACATTTTAAACTATTTTAAAAGAGTTAGAAAAGAAAATGATAGAGAATTAGGAGAAAACGTAAATGCCCAAGTTCAAACTAACTATACAGATCTGCCCAACGATTCCGAGTCCAACATAATTCGTAGTTGCGTATTAGAGCCACCCAAACCGCTTGCAGTTGCAGGTCCTAGTTCGTCAGAATCTACAATGCCTATGCCATCAAGTTTAAAGTTAACTTCGATTGACATTGGTACATTAGTAGGCGAAATGAAGAATATTGACGATTTTACACGGTATCAAGTTCTAAAGAATCATTGGACACCGGATAAAAGTTATGTGTTCCCATATTCATCCCACATGAAAAGAGGACGAGAAGAAAAACGTCGGGTTAATCATGGTCATTTTGAAAAGCATAGCTGGCTGGTATTTTCGAAATTTAAACAGGGGCTTTTTTTGTAAATACTGCGTGCTATTTTTATCGCAGGCGTTAGTTAGGGGACAAAGACTCTATTGCTCCGAAAAACTGGTTACGGAACCTATAATACATTTTACCAAACTGAGCGGAATTGAAGGAGATTTACATAGGCATCAAATTACTAGCCACCATAATTCAGCTATAAAAAAAGGTAAGTTTTACATTTTATTTTGTGCTTAATGTACTTAGTATGGTACTGAACTTAAAGGCAAGAACTTTATCTCGACTTATGAAAAACCTCAAACTATTTCTTTAAGAGGACATCGCGACGACGGTTCACTGTTTAATGAAAATGATGACACTTTTAATCTCACTGAATATAACGATGGTTGTTTTAGAGCCCTACTGCGATTTAGAATAAACTCTGGAGATGTCTGTCTTAAAGAGTATTTAAAAAATTGTGGTTCTAATTTATTTATTTATTTATTTATTTATTTATTTATTTATTTATTTATTTATTTATTTATTTATTTATTTATTTATTTATTTATTTATTTATTTATTTATTTATTTATTTATTTATTTATTTATTTATTTATTTATTTATTTATTTATTTATTTATTTATTTATTTATTTATTTATTTATTTATTTATTTATTTATTTATTTATTTATTTATTTATTTATTTATTTATTTATTTATTTATTTATTTATTTATTTATTTATTTATTTATTTATTTATTTATTTATTTATTTATTTATTTATTTATTTATTTATTTATTTATTTATTTATTTATTTATTTATTTATTTATTTATTTATTTATTTATTTATTTATTTATTTATTTATTTATTTATTTATTTATTTATTTATTTATTTATTTATTTATTTATTTATTTATTTATTTATTTATTTATTTATTTATTTATTTATTTATTTATTTATTTATTTATTTATTTATTTATTTATTTATTTATTTATTTATTTATTTATTTATTTATTTATTTATTTATTTATTTATTTATTTATTTATTTATTTATTTATTTATTTATTTATTTATTTATTTATTTATTTATTTATTTATTTATTTATTTATTTATTTATTTATTTATTTATTTATTTATTTATTTATTTATTTATTTATTTATTTATTTATTTATTTATTTATTTATTTATTTATTTATTTATTTATTTATTTATTTATTTATTTATTTATTTATTTATTTATTTATTTATTTATTTATTTATTTATTTATTTATTTATTTATTTATTTATTTATTTATTTATTTATTTATTTATTTATTTATTTATTTATTTATTTATTTATTTATTTATTTATTTATTTATTTATTTATTTATTTATTTATTTATTTATTTATTTATTTATTTATTTATTTATTTATTTATTTATTTATTTATTTATTTATTTATTTATTTATTTATTTATTTATTTATTTATTTATTTATTTATTTATTTATTTATTTATTTATTTATTTATTTATTTATTTATTTATTTATTTATTTATTTATTTATTTATTTATTTATTTATTTATTTATTTATTTATTTATTTATTTATTTATTTATTACAATGCTCTACAGGCAATCCCAATTACAGAGCAGGAATAAAAGAACACATACATTATATAGACTAAGTGGTACAAAATATACAAAAATTAGTAAACAGCTAGTAGGTAAAATACAATACAATACAATTATTTTTTTTTATGTTAGGAAATTACATTTTATTTCCCTGGGGTAGTATTCTCGAATCACGAATACCGACATTCGCATACGTGTTTTACAATGTGTCTCACTTTGTTGAACGAAAATCAAGTGAGACAAATCATAAATCTCGCATGCGAATCTATGTTCGTGACTCGAGAATACTACCCCTGAGTTTGCATGAGAAGATATCAATGTCACTACTCACACTATTCACAACGCGGCTAATACTATGAAATGGAGAATTTTTTAGAACATTTGTGCGAGGTACATATATGTGAAATATGTAAGAATTTCTAGAGGATACTCTCGGAATGCAGATATCAATTTTTCTCAACAGTTCAGGAGAATCAATTAAACCGTTAACAATTTTGAAACCTAACACATAACAATGGTATTCACGTCTTTTTATGAGGCTTAAAAAATGATATCTTTGAAGAAGATTTTGGTTTGGTATTCCGATTGGCGGATAAACACCGTCCTCCTTTAAACACAGTAATTTTAGAAACCGCCTTTGAACTGCTTCAATTCGATCCGTGTGAAGTTGGTAAAATGGACTCCAGACGACAGACGCATACTCAAGCTAGAGTAATATAACGTTTTTAATGTGGCTACATCTTTGAAATCCCTGGTGCAGCGAGTTATAAAACCATACATACGATACGATTTTTCAATCATTTTATCTATGTGACATATAAAGGTCAATCCGGGATCAAAAATTACCCCAAGATCAGTAAAAGTATCTGGTCGCTGAAGTGAGACATTATCTATTAAATAATTATACTTTATTTGGTCGGTTTTTAGAGAAAAAGACATAACTTTACATTTAATTGGATTAAGTTCAAGTTTATTATTATTACACCATTCAACCACTAGATTTAAGTTCATGTGAAGTTGTTCACAGTCGCCAATACTTGTCACACGCTTGTATAATTTTAAATCATCTGCATACAGTAAAAACTGCTCTTTAATTACACTCGAAATATCATAGATGAAAATATTAAATAGTAACGGGCCCAGAATGGAACCCTGAGGAACTTCAGATGTTGTTGCAAATTTGACAGACTTAAACCCATTAAGCTGTACAAACTGAGTACGATTTACTAGATAGCACTGAAAGAGATTTATCAAAGGGGGGGACAACCCAAACCCTGTAAGTTTTCCAAGAAGAATACCGTGGTCAAGTCTGTCAAATGCCTTTGAGAAATCTGTGTAGATGACATCAGTCTGGGCGCGCTCATCAATGGATTCAGCAATGTATTGTGTGACGGTAACCAGGTTGGTGACTGTTGAGCGACCTTTCATAAACCCATGTTGATTGACTGATAGCATTTTACTAGCATAATGATATAAGGTTTTCTCCAATAAAATTTCAAATATTTTGGAGAAATTGCATATTATGGATATTGGTCTATAATTGGTTATATCTCTTTTATCCCCCTTTTTGAAAACTGGACATACTTTTGAGGTCTTCCAAATATCTGGAACTGTTGATATCTTGAGGCATATATTTATGAGGGTGGCTAACGGAGGAGCAAGTTGAAAGGCACAATCCTTTAAAATAAAAGCTGGAATATGGTCTGGACCAGTTGTCTTTTTAGGTTTAATAGACTTTAGAGCTTCATATACCTCTTTTTCGGTAAAACAATTGACATTAAGGAACGGAACATTGAGTCGTGAATTTGAATTAGCAATAAACGGGCTAGAGGTAATATAGGACTGTTTGAAGAAGTCAGCAAATCCATTGAGAATATCTAATGGAGTTTTTAATGCTACCTATATTAGCAAAACTTTAGCTAATGAACATATTAAATGTTGAGGGGATGAGATTCTATACAATATCATAAAAAACATTATAGACGCGGAATACTATTGAATAATTTTTGATGAAACAACTGATATCGCGCATATATCTCAGTTAAGTTTGTCAGCCCGATATATTTACTATGGAAATGTTTATGAGAGTTTCTTAGGCTTCGTCGATTTACACAAGTATAACTATAGTGATAATGACGTTGATAACACAGAACCGGTTATAACTGACAAAATTCTTGGAGAGTCTGTTTTAAAAATGATGAAAAGCTTGGGTTTAGATGTAAAAAAATGTGTGGGCATAAATTGCGATGGTTGCTCAGTCAACAATTCTAAAGTAAAGGGTGCGGCAGCAGCTGAAATTCAAAAAGAGGCAGTAAATGCTATAGTTTGCCCTTGTTATAACCATGCGTTGAATCTACCAATATCAAAATCTCTATCAGTACGGAATGTTAAAAACACCTCAGGAACTATTCAGGAAATTGTAAAATTTTTTCAAGGTTCGGCAAAAAGATTCTTTGTTTTAAAAAAACACTTGAAACATAGTTTATCAAGCCCTTGTCAGACCCGATCGATCGAAAGGCATGATTCCATTCTCGAGTTTCAAAATGATTTGCCAAAAATTGTTGCTACTTTTAAAGAAATTTCCGATTGGGAAGACGACAACTTTGAAACCAAAGCTATTATTTTTTTAAAAGCAGTTTGTGATTATGAGTTCATCATAATACTATATACATTGGCAGATATCTTTTCAGTTACGCTACCATTTAGCAAATATTTACAATCTAAAATATTGATATAGAATCAGCTACAACCAAATAAAAATTATTAATGGGAACCTTAAACTCAAAAAGAGAAAATGCAGATGCCTATTTTGAAACGTTTTTATTGAAAGAAGCATCTAAGCTTATGAATATTCTTGATGTAGAACTAAAAATGCCTCGTGTAACATCTAAACAAATCCATAGGGATAACTTTTCAGGTTCAAACGAGGATTTAAATGACAACACCAAATGATTATTGGAGAAGAGTAGTATTTTTGCCTGCTTTAGATTTTGTAATCGCAGATTTGAAAGACAATATTTTTGTTTTAAGTATATTACTTCCAAAAAACCTTGCTTCCAATATTGATATGAAGTATCTGTCTAAAAAGTTGTCAAAAATAATCGAAATGTTTGGTTTCATTATTGGCAAAGTTTCTATGACACAATTAACAGGTGAAGTACAGTTATTTAAATTAATTAATAGTACTGCTGATTGTGGAATTGAAGCTCTTAGATATTGCAATAAACAGGAATTTCCTATTATTTACAAATGTTTAAATATTTTAAGCAGTCTACCAGTCTCTGTTGCAACTGCAAAGCGAAGTTTCTCTTCCATAAAACTTTTAAAAACGTACCTTCGTTCTACAATTTCTCAAGATAGACTCAATGGTCTGGCCCTCATGTACGTTTATAGAAATACTAATATTAAACTTAACGTAGAAAACATAATAGATAGGTAGATTTAGCAAACAAAAAAGAAAAATTGATTTTATTATTTGACTCATTTAACAGCATTTTACTTTACAACTTGCGGGTTTAGGACATCTGGACGTCGCCGTTTCGGCGTGGCCATTTCGGCGTGGCCATTTGAACGTCAGGCCATTTCGCCGTTGGCCGTTTTGGCGTCGGCCGTTTCGGCGTCGGGAATACTATTTTTTAGAATTTTTTAGTAGTTAAAACCGCTGTAAGTTTTATTATTGCTACATGCTACCCCAAGAAACTTGTTTTATTTTTATTTCGAATATGTATTTTTATTATTTTAGGTTTTTTGTACTTTAACGTATAAATAAAGTCAAAATAAACGTATAAAAAATTTTTGTTGATAATTCTTTACCTGCGCCCCCCCCCCCCCCCCTGAAGAAAATTCTGGATCCGCCACTGCTAGAGCTAAACCGCAAAAAAAATAAAAATCATGAGATTAGATTTCAATTTATTTAAGCAAATATTATTTTTTCTTAAAATTTAACAGCATCGAAAAGGAAATAGGAAAACACGAATTCGAAGAAGTGCAAAAATTAAAATACTTGGGAATCACAATAGCTAAAACTGGAGAAAGAAAACCGGTAATATCACAAAAGATAGTCATTACAAATAAAGCCTTTCACGCAAATAAAAAATTACTTAAAGGCAAATTACTCACAAAAAACTCAAAACTGAAAATATACAACACAATAATCAGACCAATACTACTGTACGCAGCAGAAGAAACAAATGAGTAAGACAAAAAAAGAAGAATAAAAATTATGAAAAGAAAAATTATGGGAGCAATATTAGGACCAATAAAAGTCATAGAAGAAGAATATAAAATTAGAACAAATGAGGAAATTAAATGAGAGCTAGAAGAAGATATAATGGACAACAATAAAACAATCCAGAGTTAAATGGTTGGAACACCGTTTGAAGAGTAGGAAATGGAACATTGGTTCATTCATTGCAATCGGACTCCGGAGGGAGAAGGAGACGTGGAAGATCCAGATAAGGATGGCTGAAGGAAGTGAAAGAAGATCTACGCAAGGCAGAAGTGAACATGGGCGTCGTTTGGGAAAGGGGGGGGGGGGCAAGGGGGGCAGTTGCTCCCCCTGGCTTTTACGACTTTACCTGGCGTAATGGCTGTATGTCAGAATACTCAATTAAGTACTAAAATTTAGCCCTAAATTAAGATATTAATTTAGTACTAAATTAAGAACTACAAATATTTTTTCCTTTTGCAACGATACCAATTTTTAGTACTAAATTAAGTATAGGCGCACGCGCATTGACGTATTATTGCGTCAAATTAGCACAGAAATGAAACATTCTGTGTAAAAGAAACAAGTGAATTAAAAGAGGTTTTTATTATGACTTTGACAGTCTAGGGTATCCAATCCCGGGATCCCGAAATCCCGGGATTGAGTTAAAATATCAAGTTCTAGAATCCCGGGATTTTCAAAATAATCCCGAAAATCTCGAAATCCCGAAATTATTATTTTTATTTATTTAGTTATGTTCAAGTGAAATCCCTAGTCCTGACATGTCTTGACTCGACTGCTAACGTACACGTGTGCCGACCTTGAAGAGTAGAAACTCGCACTGACTGACATGCATTAGACTACACAAACAACAAACAAGCGTTCAGTTTGTTTTCATTTATTTCGTTTCTGTGTCTTGTTGAGGGTGGTTTGTTTTGTGTTTTATTTAATTAACTATTTTACAGTAATTTTAATATTGAGGACAATATAATATAGATATAGATTGGTGCATTTTGAAATAGTAAGTTACTAACATACTGTTTTATAAGATTTTTTATGTAATTAACGAATTATTAAAACTTCTAGGTTAACTTTAATCGCTTTGCTGTATGGTTTGTTTGAATCGTTCAAAATGGCCGATGCAGATGGTAACGAATTTATTGTTCACCCCAAAAAGAATGATGATAACGCATCAGTGTGGCCTCATTTTTTTATATCAAAAGATAAACAAACTGCGAAATGCAAAACCTGCAAAAAAATTATATCAATAAAAGATGGTTCCACCAAAGGATTACATGTCCATTACAATTCAGTCCACCTGCGGCAGATTAGACCGGGTCAGTCAAAAGTGCTAGGTAAACATAAGGACACAACACCAGATGATGACAAGACTGAAATAGAAGCAGAATCATCAGCATCTGTTTCGGCACGAAAACAGATGAAAGTAACTGATTATTTCATCTCACCTGATGATAATTCTTTAGATGCTGTATTTGCAAGAATGACTGCCCTTGATGGATTACCTTTCCGAGTCTTTATCACTTCCGTGGATTTGCGAAAGGCTCTTCAAGCAAGAGGATACGAAAATTTGCCAACCTCTGTAACATCAATTTGCAACAGAGTTTTATCGTACCACAAAAAAATTGTAAATTATTACAAGCAACATCTTGAAGAAATTAGAAAAAAATACAAATTTGTGAGTTTAACCCTCGATGAATGGACATCTACAGCCAATAAAAGGTACATGAATGTAAATGTACATGGACATGATGTAGAAGGAAACGTTAAATTTTGGAATATCGGTTTAATAAGAATTTATGGTTCAATGCCTGCAGATGCTTGTGTGGAATTACTTAAGAATAGACTACAAAAATTTAATCTTTCTTTGGATAGTGATGTCGTTGGTGTAACCACAGATGGTGCCAGCGTTATGACAAAATTTGGAAAACTAATTAAACCACAACATCAACTATGCTTTGCCCATGCCATTCATTTAGCTGTATTGGATGTATTGTACACAAGAAACACGCATAGAGAGGAAGATAAAGAAAACGGCAAAGATGACTTGAATTTGTGTGCGGATACAGAATACCACAGTGCTGAGGACGAAGATTACGAAGAAGATGGATCTTTAGAGTTGATTAAGGAGCAAACTGAAGGAGACAATCTGTATTTGACAAATAAACATGATATTAAGATTTTAATTGAGAAAGTTCGAAAAACTGTCAAGTTGTTTAGACGATCTCCTGTTAAAAATAATACTTTGCAGAGCTATGTGAAAGAAAAGCACAAGAAGGAACTTTCACTTCTATTAGACTGCAAAACAAGATGGAACAGTCTGGTACTAATGTTGAAACGCTTTATTCGTGTGAAAGATTGCATACAGAAAGCTTTAATAGATGTAAAAAGTAGTACTACTATCATAACAGAGCAAGAGTGTGACCTGTTAGAAAATATTACTAATTGTCTAGAACCAGTTCAATTGACTGTAGAAGCAATATGTAGGAGGGATGCTAATCTTTTTACTGCAGATGATAGCTTTAAGTTTCTATTCAAAGAACTTTCTAACATAAATACAGTTCTAAGCAAGGAATTGGAGCTTTCTATAAGAAAGCGTATAGCAGAACGTCGAACAATAACATCTCAAGTTTTGAGTTATTTACAAAACCCTGAAGCTGATAATACTGATGGCGATGATTTTTTTAATTTACCCAATTCAAATCAAATTGCAAATTTTGTGAAAAATATGACGGACGCTTTTCCAATGCAACATTTAAGAACAACAACTGACACTTCAGTTCAACAAGTCAATGTCGACAATAATGATGGATCTGAAAAAGATGATATGCCGATTGATCAATTGGCGTTGCAAACGGAAAAGTCTAATACCAATCGCCTGAAGCAAAATCTTGAAATTGCTATAGCAAGTGCCGTAAAACCCCGCCAAAGGAGTGAAAATAATCAAACAAACTCACTAAAGGTGATAAAAAAAGAGATGAGTTTATATGAAAATGGAGGATTGAGAGGATTACATCTACAGCAGTGTTATGAGCAGCTGATGACGATACCACCGACAAGCGTGGAGGCATAGAGAGCATTTTCTTCGGCAGGGTCTGTAGCCACTAAAATTAGATCGCGACTAAGCGACTCGACATTAGACGCCCTAATTCTCCTAAGAGCACACTTTCGAAATAAATAATAAATTAAATTATTTCAGTTTATTATTTTATCATTTATTTCGAAAGTAGATACTTTTGTGTTCTATTTAAGATTGTTTTACGTTTTTGTTTAATATTTTTGTTTAATGTTTGTTTAATGTTGGTTTAATGTTTGTTTATTGTTTTTCTTATTTTTAATAAATGTATTAAACAAGGAAAAACATTTTTTTTATTGTGTAAAAATCACATGTTGGAGTACAGTACGAGAATATAAAAAATTACTCCCGAAATACGATGCAATCTCTAAACCGACTAAAATAGAGATTTTCGGGACTAATCCCGGGATCCCGGGAGTACAAATTTAAATCCCAAAATCCCGAAAATGAATCCCGATCCCGAAAAATGGAATCCCTATTTGACACTAGTTGACTTGACAACAAAATGCAGCAATGCTACTAAAAATCAGGAAGAAACACAATAAAACCTACAGAATCAAACAAAATGGTGTCAACTATTTCAACGCATTTTTAGCACTAAATTTAGTAGAAAATAGAACAAGTTCAAATTAATTAATTAATTTTTTTATTACTAAATTTGCTGTTTGCACCGTGAATTTTTTTTAGTACTTAGAAAATGCATTAATTTAGTTCTAAATTTAGTATCGCAACATCAGCCTTATTATATGAATTACTGATATTTCGTCGCCGTGCACACATAACAATAAACACAAGACCTAATATGTTAGGTAACCTTAAATTGGTTGAATTGTTTAGGGAAATAGAAGAAATAGGTAAACATGATAGGTGTAGAAATCTAAATGCCACAAATTACGGACAACAATCTCATAGAAATAATATTCAGGCTAATACCGTTGACGAATGTTATAGGTTGAATATTAGAGTGTGTCATTTTTGAGCAACTTTTTTTTTTTCAACAACAGAATAAAAACATTCAGGAAGGTGAAAAAATAATCCTTTAAAAATTTGAGCTCTTAATATTATCATTTAGTGGTGCCTGTTTCTAACTTTCCATTTTCCATTTAAATAACATGAAAATTTATTTTTTATTTTTGTAGCTTGATATTTGAGCATTGTAAAAATAAACTGAAAAATTATTTTGGTAGGAAATTGAATGCTCTACAAAAAAGTTTTAATTTATTTTTTCATAGAATGAGCCGTTCTGAAGATATTATAACTTAAAGTTGCAAATGTATAAAATTGTGACTTTTATTTTATTAAACTAATACTGATGACTTTTTTCATGTCTTAAAAATTATTTCTAATCAGAAAACTGGTTTTTGTTCACTAATATTTTTAGAAAGTTAAAATAAAAAAAAATACGTCTTAGATATTATTCTATTATTTGATTAACTGTTAAAAAAAAGTAATTATGAATTAGGTTCAGTAAAATTATTATTTTATAGATTAAAAAAAACTTTTTAACAATTGGAATACTAAAATTTTGAAACTTAATAGAAATTTTACTGTCTTATCAGAATTAAATGATGTAACTATATTTGTTAAAGTTTTTTTATTACAATTTGGATATTTCCGTAGTCGGTGCTTTTTTACCACTTGTAATAAATATTGAAATTGTTTCTCATCTTTAGTTAGGCATCTTTTATATTCTACTAATGCGACGCCACGTTCTGCAACGTCATTGACAACAACTTTTTCGAAAAATTTTCTTGATAACTTTCATTATCTGGCTACATTAGAACATCTTCATCCATAAAGTCGCACGCAAATCAAATTTGTCAAAAAGTTTCAATGATTGTTTTGAAATAAAGTCACTTATATTTTTGTTTAAAAATATTTCTGGTGAGTTTTTATCTTCTGTGCGTCGTTATTTTCTTTCTATACGAAAATAATTTTTAAGACATAAAAAAGTCATCAGTATTAGTTTAATAAAATAAAAGTCACAATTTTATACATTTGCAACTTTAAGTTTGAATATCTTCAGAACGGTTCACTCTATGAAAAAATAGAATATAACTTTTTTGTAGAGCATTCAATTTCCTACCAAAGTAATTTTTCAGTTTATTTTTGCAATGCTAAAATGTCAAGCTCCAAAAATAAGAAAAAATATTTTTTTTCCATGTTATTTAAATGGAAAATGGAAAGTTAGGAACAGGCACCACTTAATGTTAATATTAAGAGCTCAAATTTTTAGACGCCTATTTTTCACCTTCTTGAAAGTTTTTAACCTGTTTTTTAGTTGAAAACAAAAATTGCTTAAAAATGACACACCCTATTGAATATATTTATTCCATATCTATATCTTACACGTACCTATAAATTTTACTTTTTTTAATGTAGGTAAAAACAAAAAGCAATAGCAGTTGCTGTGTTGTAAATTGTAAAAATACTAGCAGAAAAAACGCTGTAAATTATATAAATTTTCAGTAGCAAAATGGAAATTAAATCAAAGAAATAAATGAGTAGCTGTACAATAAGAAGAAAAACCTTTATTTTTGTAATAATAACAGTAATACTGGAAATAGTAGACATCAGAAAATTGAAAGGTTTTAAATAAATTATTATTTCACAATGTTGTTCAACATCCGTTATCTCTTAAATGTTCAGTAAGGATTAGGTTTCTGCCTTTGATTATTGAATGTGGCTGAAATGCAATCTTGTTACTTATTGATAGGAAACCAATTTTAATCATTAATTTCTATGGGTTCTTTCGAACTAAAAATGAACAAAATATAAATTACAGTCGCAAATTTACCAATTATTTTTGTTAATACGTTTTGATACTAAGGTAATATATAATGGTAATGTTCTTATTTTCACATTATTTAACCTATTCGTCAACGACAACTTATTAGGCTAGGCAAGATATCGTACATTTTTTTTTTAGCTGAAGTAATAAAAATATATAATAGTAATTAATTTCTTCACTTGTTTTACAAATCCATATACTTTTATTAAAAACATATTTTTTAATTAGGAATTCCATTAAAAATTGTATTGTCAGTATACGCAAATATCGTCCGTTAGTTCATAAATTAGTTGGCGCTGCTGTCACGCACAGAGCAAATAATGAATGAAAATAGGCTGACTGCGCTTTGCATGATGAGCGTACTCGAAAAATAATCGCAAAAAACTAAAAAGAAATCATGTCTTCTGTTATCGATTATTTTAGGTAGAGAAAGAAGAAATTAAAAATTTGCTGTTTCCTAGTATTCGTCGACGTGTTTTCTTTGGTTTTTTTTTTTAATATTATGTATGGCCTGTCTTCTTGTTCATATTTGTATTTTATATCACACCTTCTGTTTTTTAAAAATATGTGTTTTGGGTTTCTTGTTTTTTATTTTATTTTAGTTTTTGTCTTTTTTGTTGGGTTATTTTAGTTTTTAGAAACTTTCTTTAATTTGTATTGCTCTTTTATTTTTATTTTCTTTGTTTTTCAATAAATAAACATTCTAAATTTTTTCAAAATTTTGCCCCTACCTATAGAATTATGTAACGACGCCCATGGAAGTGAATAATTGGTAAGAAAAATACAGGATAGGGAAAAATGGAGGGACATTGTAAAAAATATTATCTAAGAAAATGGGATTAATCCACCCAAAATATGGATCTAGAGAGCGAACAGCGGTTTAGCCCCACTAGGATTTTAACTTTTTACTTTTCTTTTTTTAATATTTGTGTTCATATTTTCAACTGTTATTTGTTTTATTGTTAAACAAGGCTGTCTAAACTCAAGAGTGAAAGTATCTTTTTAATGTGTAACGACACTTTTTTTCTTTTAAATTGGAATATGTTAATAATAATTATTATCTTTACGTTTTAAGTGTGTAACTACTGCATTTCTATTTTAATAATATTTTGTTGTACATTAGATTTATCCTACTTCAATAAAGTATATATCTTTTTTTATCTTCATTAGGATCTTTGTGCAATCTCCAAAACTAAAAGTGATGCGTCTAAGTTTTAACTGTCTGTTATTTTTAGGATTTTAGGATTTTTAGGATCATCTACCAATTACCAATAGATAATAAATATAGCAGTAAAAAAATGTATCTAAAATAAGTGAATACATATTTTGATTTCAAACAAGTTTTCCTTGAAATTTAACTACTTTTAATTTTGCATAATAATCATAATCATTCATACTCACCCAAATATTCTTTAATGTCGACCGAAAATTCGATAACCTTTCTCTCGAACATTGTATTTAAAATTGTTTTAGAACACTGACTAAATAACGTTGATATCCTTATTGTTCATACATAATTTATATACCTATCGCGAAAACATACTGATAAATACACAAATTTGTTGATGGTTAGTCTATAAATACAGATAGATATCAGGGGAGCATTAAATTAAGATCTTCAATTTTGCCGAAAGAACAAAGATGAAGACGAGTCTGACGAGTAAACAGTTAAAGCAGATTGTTTATGTTAAAGCAGAGTTGGTAGAAAGTTCTATATTGCAACCGCAATTTTACGGTTGATGTTTTATTCAGTCTATCTTTAATCATTATACAATTTTGTAGAATATATACAGAATGTTACGCTAAAATAAGAACAGTACATTTTCAACAATTATACAGGTATTAATTTTCTGTGTTTTTAAAAAAAATATTATATTTATTGTAGCCATATAAAGGGTGTTAGTTTAACACTGTATAACATTCGTATTTTATTAATTTAACTACCTATTGCTATATTAAGTGCGTCGATACATTTTTTCCTAAGAGAGTAATTAAAAAAAATAATTTGTAGGAATAGAAACTGAAAACATATATTAAAAATGTATTTATAATAAAACTAGAAGCCTTATAACAAAATACTTATAAAATAAAAATAATTAAAGTTTACTCTAAACAACCTACCTATATATCAATAAAATGTTGAAAAATTAATATAGTGTGTTATAATTTTAATAGGTGATACACGGAGTAAACTGGAGTAAAATTCCTGTTTATTTTGTTGATTTTGAAACTTTTTTAGTGCATTTATTTCATTTCATTCGCTGCCTGTAACTATACAGTGAGCATCAGAAGTCTTATCCCCCCTATCTAACTCGCTACTGGAGTCTTGTTAGGAAAATCGCCGAGACACATCGATTTTTGATTTCTACAATATATATTTTTGTATGAATAGTTTACCCTTAATTTCATCCCTTACTGGAGGGGAGCAACCCTTTCGAAAAATTTAAATGGCATGGGGTAGTGAGTGATAGCTCATTTGAAAGGAGGTTTTATTCTCTATTCAACCGTGCAAAAAATTTTGAAATTTGCTTCATTACGTGTTGACTTATTAATGTTTAAAAATAACAAAACATCACAAACAGGAAAGCAACTAAACTAACAGTGACCTTATCTAATGGGCACGTCTGAACCAAAACCGATATCATGCAAGGCCGAATTTTAATTCTAAGGATGAGTGTGCTACGTTAATTTTCGTTATTATGAAACAATAATTATTCGAGAATTAATGAAGCAAATTTCAAAATTTTTTGCACAGTTGAAAAGAGAATAAAACCTCCTTTCAAATGAGATATCACTCACCACCCCATGCCATTTAAATTTTTCAAAAGGGTTGCTCCCCTCCAGTAGGGGGTGAAATTAAGGGTAAACTATTCATACAAAAATGTATATTGTATAAATCAAAAATCGACGTGTCTCGACGATTTTCCTAACAGGACTCCAGTAACGAGTTAGATAGGGGATAAGACTTATGATGCTCACTGTATAAAAATGTTAACAAATAAAGTGTGTATATGTATGGGTATCGTAATTATTTTTTTTTAAATAATAATAAATTTATTAACTCATAGTACATGCATTTTTTATATATTTGTAAGCAATGTAATGTACTTATCCAACACCTTGTATATTTTCCTTTATTAATTTAAGTAAATTTAATTTGGATTTATAAACAAATAATTATCTTGTTATTTTCCTAGCTGTACAGAGATAAGGAAAGTATAGGAATCATGATTTTTTTCGACCTCAAGTTTTCGACGGATTTTTACGTTTTGGGGTCCCCTGAATCTGTTTTGACAATTTTCGCAATGATATGTGTGTGTGTGTGTGTGTGTGTGTGTGTGTGTGTGTGTGTGTGTGTGTGTGTGTGTGTGTGTGTGTGTGTGTGTGTGTGTGTGTGTGTGTGTGTGTGTGTGTGTGTGTGTGTGTGTGTGTGTGTGTGTGTGTGTGTGTGTGTGTGTGTGTGTGTGTGTGTGTGTGTGTGTGTGTGTGTGTGTGTGTGTGTGTGTGTGTGTGTGTGTGTGTGTGTGTGTGTGTGTGTGTGTGTGTGTGTGTGTGTGTGTGTGTGTGTGTGTGTGTGTGTGTGTGTGTGTGTGTGTGTGTGTGTGTGTGTGTGTGTGTGTGTGTGTGTGTGTGTGTGTGTGTGTGTGTGTGTGTGTGTGTGTGTGTGTGTGTGTGTGTGTGTGTGTGTGTGTGTGTGTGTGTGTGTGTGTGTGTGTGCGTGTGCGTGTGCGTGTGCGTGTGCGTGTGCGTGTGCGTGTGCGTGTGCGTGTGCGTGTGCGTGTGCGTGTGCGTGTGCGTGTGCGTGTGCGTGTGCGTGTGCGTGTGCGTGTGCGTGTGCGTGTGCGTGTGCGTGTGCGTGTGCGTGTGTGCGTGTGCGTGTGCGTGTGCGTGTGCGTGTGCGTGTGCGTGTGCGTGTGCGTGTGCGTGTGCGTGTGCGTGTGCGTGTGCGTGTGCGTGTGCGTGTGCGTGTGCGTGTGCGTGTGCGTGTGCGTGTGCGTGTGCGTGTGCGTGTGCGTGTGCGTGTGCGTGTGCGTGTGCGTGTGCGTGTGCGTGTGCGTGTGCGTGTGCGTGTGCGTGTGCGTGTGCGTGTGCGTGTGCGTGTGCGTGTGCGTGTGCGTGTGCGTGTGCGTGTGCGTGTGCGTGTGCGTGTGCGTGTGCGTGTGCGTGTGCGTGTGCGTGTGCGTGTGCGTGTGCGTGTGCGTGTGCGTGTGCGTGTGCGTGTGCGTGTGCGTGTGCGTGTGCGTGTGCGTGTGCGTGTGCGTGTGCGTGTGCGTGTGCGTGTGCGTGTGCGTGTGCGTGTGCGTGTGCGTGTGCGTGTGCGTGTGCGTGTGCGTGTGCGTGTGCGTGTGCGTGTGCGTGTGCGTGTGCGTGTGCGTGTGCGTGTGTGTGTGTGTGTGTGTACATTAACAACTCACACCATTTTATAACGTTAGAGGTGGCTTAATTACAAAACTTTTGTGTCAGATTAATTAATTTATATCGAGAAATATGATGTTTGATGGTACAAATGGTATTGTACCTCGAAACGCATGGCCTTGTACCTTGAAACACTAAATGACAAACTATATATGTCATATTACGTATTTATTAACATTTACTACAAAAGAACAAAATACATAAACATGTTTCTCTTTATGTTATAATCTTTAAAATCAATTTGGAACCACAACATTCCAGCTAACCTGTCAGAACCTCTCAATGGAGCTAGTTGAGGCAGCTTCATAACCAAGTCGTTGCCATTGACATCATATATTTGTTCAGATTCTTTAACAAATGTATTGCTGCTGCTTCTGAGCCGCTTGTAAAATTCAATTTTGAACTCGCTGTCGGCTAAATCTTTTGAAATAATCTTTCCAATGTCAAGTCCCTTTTCTTAGGAAACTGAACGAGAACATAATCATCCACAGCATAGGAGCTCGAAATTGGTAATCTCTTCTGTCAATATATCAGAATCACTGTCATCGTTCAACAAAATCTCCCCTGATTCATCATCGGGATCACTATCAAAAACTTGTCGTTACACTGTCCTGCTTGCCTTTTGCTTAGTTTTCGCTTTTGAGCTGGAAGACTTACTTTGTTTTTGTTGTTTAATTTCTTTCATTTCTGGCGTATTAGTCACAACGCGGGTGTCTCCTGGTTTTCTACCTTTTTTCGAGTTCTTTCTAGGCGCAGCCTTTGGATATGGACAAATTAGTTCTGGAGAAAAACTAGATTTATTTTGAAAGGGAGGTGTTCTTTCTCTGGAGGACGGTCCCGGAATTGGCTCTGAAGATGGGCGGGTGTTACAACTGTTATCTAGAGGAACATCAGAAGGAAGTGTTAATTCATTAGGCCGATCGGTTACATATGACACCATGAAGTCTTGCTCCGAAAAAACGCCATGGTCGAAGGGATATATTCCAGGCTTCTTAAATCCACTAACAATATTACTAGTAGTAAATGTTCGAGGGTAAGCTTGTCCTAAAGCTTCAGCTATTCAATATATTGTAAATGTTTTACCCGGATTGTTTCTCAACCATGCATCAATAGACTGGCCATCGAATGTTTGCAGGAGTCCATACACAGAAAGGTCCAGGGGTTGAAACTTATGAGACGTGTGAGGGGGAAACGTTAACGTAACAATACCTACTATATACGCAGACAAATGGGTTTCGTGATTGTCCATAAGAAGTAACACCCGCTCGTCTCTTGAAGGTTTCACATGAGAGGCAAAGTGTTTTAAAAATACCCAAAAAATGGTCTTCATTACTCCATCCGGAGGGATTTGTACCTCCAATGGTCCCAGGAAGGGCACCACTAAGCATAAAATCTTTGAAAACCCTACGAAAGATTAACATGGGGGAATATGTGTTCCGATGGCATTTACTGCTGCAATAAGAGTAACCAACTGACCACGTTCAGCTAAAGTTACACTTCCAACCTGTTTGTCCCCTTTAGGGGCCAAAACTTTAGTTGGTTTTTGAACCGTCGTTAATGCAGTTTCGTCTGTGTTCCAAATTCTTTCTGGCGGGATTGGCCCAAACCGGTTATGGATATCTTCAAGAATATTGAAAAATTTGTTTATATTATTTTCATTGAAACTAGTTGATCTTGACAGACTGAAAGGATATTTTTGTGCCGTTTCATAAACCAGCGCATCCATTCTTCTCCCGCTATTTGGTTTTTGTCCCAGTTAGGAGGTACGCTTTTATTATTTGCCTTTGCGAACTTATAGGCTAGCTCACGAACACACTTTTTACTGAGGCCATATTGCATTCTAGCAATATTTTTCATATAATTTACCAAACTGATTTCTTCTGCTTCGGTAAATACCTTCTTTACTTCAAGTTTTATGGAATATGTAAATATTTGTTTTCCAGACTCCCTGAATTGTTTTAAATGTCTGGACATAGTTGCCAGTGAAACTTTAAATACTTTGCATGCTTCCCTTAATGAAATGCCATTATCGGAGCTTCAATAGCTCTTTCAAGTGAAGCAGCATCAACGGCCGGTCTCTTTTTTCCAACTTTACTTCTAGGCA